GTTTCTAATGGTGCTTTAAAAGGTGTGTCGCATTTTTATGTATGCTTTATTTACGCTATTAGGGCATGACAGGTACCTTTACGGTACCATGTAATAACATCTGAGCTGAGAGGACATGTATAGGTACATGTTACCTATAGGTAATTGGGCAATGACCTGTTGTGTATGTGGCCTGTAGGTACTCGTACATAGGTACCTACTGTAGGTACATACAGTGGCAGCACTGGCACTGGCAGGCAGCGCTGAGCAGTGCACTGAGGGCAGCAACACTGGCAGCAGCCAGTGCTGAGCCATGGGAGCCCGATGGGTGGGGAGTGGCGGAACATCGATCTGCCCCCGAGTGTACCAATGAACAGTTCACCCTCGCGGGCACGGGGGCTTCCCCCTCACGAATATTGGCGATATCTCCCGAACGCTTAGGGATAGTAAAGCGAAACTTTCTGTGTCTTTTTTCCTCATTAATTTGACATCTTCTGGAGTAAAAATGTTTGACCTAGCTCCCTTGATGACGTCACAGGGTCGATTTTTCTAGACCCCTGCACAGCAATGAGCAAACATCGGTGCCAAAGACTTGAACTTCAAATAGCTGCCAAAAATAGAGTTTAAGAGACAAAAAACACTAGCACGGTTGTGTAGCACTTGACCTAAGAAAAATACAAAACTAGTTTTCTTTACACATGAAATGTCGTATATGATAGAGTCGTAGCCGCTGATCACGAATCTGGCATCCATTTTGCTCTAAGCATCCATTTAGAGTTTCAGGATGGCAAAATTATATTAATTGTTATGGATGACTTGAATCAGTGAAATAATATCTAGATACTCTCCCGTTACCTTGACCTTGGAGCAGCCTTGTATCGTAAGATTAACCACAAATACGGGCCTGATAACCTTCAAAAAATTTTCAAAGCATCTTGGAATTAAGTATACAAGATATACGAGAAAGTGCAGCGTTTGAGGTCAATTTTGAGCGTGATCTTTACCCTGACCTTCAGTTGTGCACATCATCACAACCCTCAGATTCTCTTCTTTTGTTTTACACCCATTTTGCCGGTTTTATGCATCTTACCGTCCTCTGAAACACTTACTTTGATATAACTACACTTTTGCCAGTTTTTGCCTTTGACCTTAACCTCTGACCTTGAAAATCGACCTGAGGTCAAAAATTGTAGGTGCTTTATAATCGTCTAGTAAAGACCTTTCGTTTGGTACCACTTTTGTTTCCGTATGTTGACAGGGGCTAAAAACGCCCCCGGGCTGCAGTGGTTAGGATTACCTACTCCCCGGGCCCGGCCGGGTTAACCCGCGCACCACTGTGGTCTGTGTATAACACGCCCTACTGGGGAGGGGGCTACCTCCTAACTCCGAAACTACTGGGCCGATCGTCAAAATTCAAACGGCATCTGATAGCCCCGGAAAAACTGTCGAGCGAAACCTAATTTCATTGACCTCAAGGTCACCGATGACGTCGCAGGTCAGGTCAAAGTAAAAATTATCGATATTTGGCTTGTTCACATTTTGGGCTCTGGCTGCCGGCTTACAAGTCAGATCAGGCTGAGTTTTGGTTTACGCACTCGTGAACAGATGCTTTAGATACCCTGAGGGTACCAAACTTGTACTTTGATTTTCAGGTCAGGGTCAGGTCATCATAGGTCACGGAAATCTTATGTCAGAAGTCGGTCACGTGACACATGTTTTATGGTCCATTTAGGCCACAGATTTCGAATTCGGTGTCGCCTGTGTCATTTAAGGCCATTTTCACCTGAATATAGCTGAGGTCAGGTCACTTTCAGGTTAAAAAAGGTCAAATTTCAAAGTTAAAATTTTTGAATAAAAAACATGTCTATCGGATGCAGTTTGAGCTCAGGAACACGATGGTGCTATTTATATTGATGTATGTACGATGTCAAATTCGTACAGAAAAATTGATTTGAAAAAAAAATTGAAATTGTGAAATTTTTGCTATAATGCGTATAACTTGGCCATTTTTGAAGATATTTGGCTACAAATTGCTAGAGTAAGTTATAACCATGCGTTCTATCATACATATTCCGTTTTTTTTCGAAAAGTAAAAAAATATTGAAAAAATATAAAAATACAAATTTTGAATTTTGATATAACTTTTTTTCAAAATTTTCGAAATTTTGAAAATTCGAGATAGCAGTTTGATAGCGCAGTCCATTCTGAGTCCTATCATGCAAAGACATTGGATCTAGCTCAAAAACTTAGCTCTTGGGAGCGATTCCCGTGGTTCAATGTTTTGCGTCGAAATCGGCCGAACATGACGTCACTCTGACGTCATTTCCGGCCGACCTATGATAGATACGAAGTTCAAATTTTGACAGAAGGTGTCAAATTGATGCAGCCGAAGGTACTGAAAGTTTGGCGGCGATACGTCAAGCGGTTTAGAAGTTATTGCAGAAAAACGGGAGGGGGCTATGAATACCCCCCCCCCCCCAGTGGGGCGCGGGTTACCAAGAAACAACTAAAAAGGCATATCGTTGTGGTATACTGTGCCTATAAGGCACAATAGTACTACTGAGCTTATCGAAAGTAGGCAAGCAGTTAGCTCATGAACAGTTGATGTGCTCGAATTGATATTGACACGTGACAAGCGTGCCTGCTCTTGATCGTCTAGATCTTTCAAGACTTATCTTTGTCCCATTTACCACACATATTTCCAGCTGGAAATGTGTCACTACGCTATCAAGCTATATCTTGCAACGATTGCACAACATCGACTAATGTCCACTCTTGCTCACCTGTAAACCACTCATGCTCACTCACGTCCTCCGAAGTCCGAACCAGTCTCTACCGGTCTCGGTGCAGGGATCTGCCCCTACCCAGTCTGCCGACCGGGGCGGAGGTGCGGCTCTATCCTACACGTGGATGGGTCGGGGTAAAAACGGCGTCTGCCCGGCGCGTCGCATGCGAGGCACGCCTCCGTCGATGAGCATCGGCTGACGTAACCGGCCCGGCGGCTTCGGCACGGCACCGCCGCGCGTTCCGGCCTCTCCGACCAGAGCAGCAGCTTTTTGTCGGCGTGCCAGCGTTTTGTAGTCCCGATTCGATACATTAGCGCGACATTGTGAGAACCAAACGTGGCCTTGTTGGCTGCGGTAAGATGCGCTGTTATTAAATTAGGTACTAATTTCAGGGAAAAATTATTAACTTTTGTTTTGCTTCAACTTTGAGCAGTTTAATAGATTTAGGAATGAGTGTATTGAAATGATGCTGTTCGCAAAGAATATTGAACGCGAATTTGATGTCATTTGTCAACCGCCGATTTTCATGATAAAGAATACGAGTGGGTTGTGGGCAGCAGAGATTAACCAATTTGGTGAAGGAAACGAGTCTCAGTGGCCTTCACTCTCGAAGTGGAGGCTCAAACGTCTATAGTACCCGCCTTTTTTGTATCTGTCTGGGTGTGGGGCGCATAGCGACACAAATAGCCGTCCCACATCAGCCAGCGACTGAAATCCACAGCCGTATTATTTTGGCTGGGAACCAGCGGCTACGTTTTCAGGTTACCTACGTCGTAATTGTGAGGTGACATGCACGAATACAAGCTTCTAGGTACAGGTCTCGCGGGTTTTAGCGGTAGGTTTTGCACCTAGAAAATTTAGTGTACTTCAGGCTATATCTTCGTCGTCTTAAGCTTCATAGTGTTGAAGATACGATCGACTTATTGGTTCACAAGCCGGCCATGATCGTGTAAAATGGCTTCATCGTAGATCGATCAGTTTCTGAGATATAACCGGAAATGTAAAAGTGCAAAATCTACCGCTTAATCTCGCGAGAGCCGTATGTACATATTGCGCAAATGTGATGTAAAGAAGAAGAAGCCAAATTTGGCAGCTTCTCGTGATGCGCTGTTTCTTTCAGATTCGATGATAACCGCAGTTGGACTGCAATAAAACGTCATACAACTGCGCGAGAGTTAGCTGGAAGTGTCATTACGCAATGCGTAAAACGTCACGCAGCCTTGCAAACATCAGCTGATGTCCGCGGTTTCCTGCTCGCCGTGCGAGCCTGGCTATTAATACCTATCCGAACCATAGTTACAAACATAGATCCGAGCTTTTCATCGAATGTATCATTCTGATTAGTCATAGGCGATATACTGATCGATGTATGTAAGTACATGTTCAGTCGGATTAAAGTGATGAAGACATGTACTCCGTTTTGTTGTGACTTGTTTTGTTGCATTGTTTGTTGTTTTGTTGTTATTTGTTGCACACCTACAAGCAAGCACCTGTATTATACATACATATAGGTATGTGGTCTCCTCGTCGGCTTTTAATTTAGCATAGAAGTTAAAACTTTCTGCCAAGAACTGTCGGCACTACATTCCGTAGGAAGATATGCACTATAGGAGTGTGAGAGGGGACGTTGTGGGTGCCTCAGTAGGTATTTGAGGTTGCAGAGACCGGTCTGAATCAGCTCAGGCGCTGCTGACAAGACACATAAACATTGGACAAAGACAAAACCAGGCTGGCGCGGAAGACGGTCTGCTCAGGGAACTCGGAGGGGGAGGGGGTGGTTGCGGGGGGAGGGAGTAGAAAGCAGGATTCACAGCTGCATCAAAACAAACCCAAGGCCTCCCGTTAGTTGGCAGACGTTCACTGTTTGCTGTGGAGGAAGCATTGTTATGGTAGCCTCTGTTACCATGCTGTGTTTCGAGGTTATGCAGGAGGAATGACTTCAAGCCAGGGAGGTGATACAATGCTTCATGTGTTATATCTGTCACTTACATGTGTTGTGACCTCATGGACCTATGAACTCAGACCACCTCGATCTATTGAAATCTGGCTCGATACCAACGGCACCCAACGAGCCCGGCAGCTGTGTTCATAATCAGTCACCGCCTGACCCCGCGCCAGTCAGCTTGACCTTCTCCCCAGTAGCCACCTGACCCCGCAGTGGCCTTCTCTAGCCCCCTGACCCCTCTCTCCGGTCAGTGACCCCTCCTCCAATGACCGGTGACTCGTTGACCTCAGGTCGGACCGGCTACGGCGCCGGCACCTCGGACGGCCTGCGCACGCCGATGCGCTGTCTGCGGCTGTTCGTGTTCGCTTTCCTGCTGCCGTGCGCGCTGATCGCCGTGCCGCTCTACCAGAGGAAGGTGTCGCTGGCGCCGCGCGTCTACACCATGACCGCCTCGGACATGAGGGAGGTTCAGGACGGCATCTCCAGCGTCTGGTGTGAGGTAGGTGGGGGAGGGCCGCAGGACAGGGCGGCGCACAGGGGAGTGCGGCGCGATTGAAATGTTTGGTTATTATTTGTTATTTATTTTTCGGTTCACCCGACAACCACAAACAAGTGGGCATTACGACGGGAACTGGCAAAGGCACAGATAACGCAGCCTCGCACCGTTCGCACATATCATACAAGATTGTTAACGTCATATCTTGTATGACTGTTATGTGTGTGCGACGTGCGTAAATTGTCTTTTAGTGAACTATTGGATCATTGGTCCATCGGTCGTTTCCAGAAAAAGAGCTACGTAAAAATGCTTATATTTGGGTACGCTGAACTGAAAGTAACGAGTTTGTTTATAGATGCTAGTATACGTAAGTGTTGTTTATGTACGGTATCAGCTTCAGAGCTCTATCTCTGTGTGCACTGTCAGATCAAATCTGATGCATCAGCCACCTATCTTTTCTACGTCATCGATACTTTTCCGTAATGTTGATAAGATAGTCCTCGGTATTTGCTTTATGCTCTTCTGCCTGTTGCTCAGAAGGGTGGTCTTTTCATTGGGACTACTGCGGGGTGCGAATATGTGCCTGTTCCACCACCAGACCACGCCAATAGACGGGGTCATGACCGTTAACCCAATGCCGCAAAGTGACGTGTCGCACCAATGATTCAATCACGAACGTCCGGCGGCCAGTGCAGCTCATCTAGTGCCGGACGTTTGAACGTTCCCGGTGCCTCAGCTAGCAACAGCTGGCTGATCACGTGCCTGCTGAATGGTCTACCGCCGGTCAGTCACCGCCCCCGGCGGCGGGTCTCAGCTGACCTTGACCTTAGGTTATCTGCTCCGAGCACCGGCCGCGGACCGGACGATAAGTAGGTCATCCGTCCCAGACCGCCGTCAACGGAGACCGATTGAGGAAGATTGGGTGGGTGATTCATCGTTAATATCGTGCAAAATTGTGTTTGAAAATGTCCTCGGGCATTGTTCATTGAAGGTGATACCCTGCTATGTAGATGACGATTGATTTAATGATACTGTAATTCACCTGACGGTTGTTTGACTTGATTTCCATCCCAAGAGCGTACTTTTGTCAAAATATAACAGCGATCTCTTGAAAGTTTTAATCGGAAAATGTGATGTTTCTTCCAGCTACGAAAGCTCCCGACTGCGCCTATGGTCACTGGTCAAGGGACTATCAGTGAAGTGTGATTTTGATGCAGTCCCCGTTTTACTTGTCAAACACTCTTTGTCAGTACAAGGGTAAAAATGGCAGCTCTTTTGTGATTTTTTATTGCGTATAACGCGCATAATCTAACCAGGAAAGATACAAATAAGCAGACATGAACAGGGTCTTTCAACTCTAGCCAGCGGATCCGCGCTTGCAAATCTGCTGCTAAACTGACGGAAAATCAGACAATACTTCCTGAATGCCTGAGACCCAAGATGATCATCATTATGCTCAGGTTCTTCTGTAGTCACCCGCCACCGTTCGCTCCCAGTTCCCATCGTCTCAGTTTTAGTACCCCCTCGCTACCCCGCCATTACAGACTGAGTTTTAACCCCCGCCACCTCCCCCCCCCCCCCGCCCACCCATACACACCTTCCCAGGCTCATCTATCTGATCGTTCCCCCACCGTTTGCAGGCGCAGGAGCTGACCAGTGAAGCGCCGTTCACATCGTACCGGGCCCACGGCCACCTGCCGCAGCACAGCCGGCGCGTGCCGGTCACACTGCGCCATCGGCTCACCCTCACTGACGACGTCAGAGAGTTCTGGGGCTTCTACCTGCTCAGGGGATCCAGGATCTCCGTCTCCGCCTGCGCCAGGTAGGCGGGCGAGCACGCCACGGGAGAGGGTGAAATGGATTATGAGGACTAGGGCGGTCGGTAACTCGTAGTCGTCACGGACCCGACGCAGGCAGTCCAGACGGTAAAGACAGGAGGCTTACAGCGACATCTGTGGAAAAGGTAGGGCAGGTGGCGCTGCCGACTTTCGTCTGGGGCATGTCCGTGCCATGCCTCAAGCTGAGCTGCAGCCTGCAACGCATTGTTCCATGTTTATCAAGGCAATATGACTCTTGCTTCTGCTACGTGTGATAAATTTGTCAGCTGATTTTATCAGCATTATATAATATAATTGACTTGCCTTGTGAATATTACGACAGTTATGCCTACCTTCAGTGGTAATCGGGCTCATGCATCTGCAAATATGAATAAATAAATCTGTTAGCTTTAGGATACCAGGTAAACCCAAACTACACATTTGCCGTGTTTCTATGAAGCATTCAATAGAATGGCATGGCCAATGTCAGCTGGCATCGTGATCATGGCCTTCGCCGTACAGGCGCTCGATCCAAGTCCTCCGGCACAGCATGCATTCAGGCGCACACTACTGCTGCCATCTAGTGGTAGAAATGTCGTCAGCCTAGGCGGCGCTGTGAAACTAAGGAGCGTGCGCGCACCTCGCTTCATTTCGTCATGCCGGTGGATGGTGAATGGATGATGGATCCTTCCTGAGGGGATGCGAATGGATGGTTGACCCTATCCAAGTGGATGGTGAACACTTATGCTTATCGGTCTATTGCACATGCGCATGCTAAGCAATCTAAGCATCATATAGGTAGGTACTAGGCATGTATTTTTATTTGATGCATGTGTATTTTGTTTCATTATCGCTTATCATTTCATTCACCGAGGCCTGCGAGGGCTGGAGTTTTACAAACAATTTCGGCATTTTAACATAAGCCCTGTGGCATTTCATGGTAAGAATGATTATGGTATCCAAATTAGTCATCATATCCCTGCCAATAAGTTTCAGCATGTGTCAGCTAATTTGTCAGGTGAATAATCTCTCTTTTTGATTTTTGTCTTGATTTTCATATTGAAGGATAATTTACACCCATATTATTCAATAAAGTGGGCCTAATTAAAAGACACATGCTTTAGAATCCAAGTCTGTAGAATATTGGACCATCGGTATAATTGTTCAGTTAGAAACGTGCCGCCTGAATTTTAAACCAGTATAACGCCTTTTGGGGCGACTAACGGAGCGAGCGAGAGGGTGGGCCTTGCACGTGGGAAATTTCGAGGGGGTACCTCCAACTGACTTCTGCACGGCACCTTACTAACCGGTCTCTAGCGATGTGCCAAATTAGAGCACAATCGGCCCAGCCGTTCTCGAGATCTGGAAGCGGCACCCTGCACGTGCGCACGTGCAAAATGGGTCCCAACTGACTTGTGCACGGCACCCTACTAACTGGTCCCTAACCGTGTACCAAATTTGAGCGCCATCGGTCCAGCCGTTCTCGAGATCTGGAAACGACCCCTGCACGTGCGCACGTGCAGCAGCACCCCAACTCATGGCACACGGATATGCAGTGCCTAGTGGGTGCCTACCTACATGCCAACTTTCAGCGCAATCGGCCAAGTAGTTACCGAGATATTGCAACAATTACAAAACTGACACCTCTTCGTTTTGCACGTGGCACGTGCATAAGGGGTCACCCACATGCATCGGGAATAGTCCAATACTTGGTAGAAGGAATGAAGCTACCCTACAAAAATTACCGCATGTAAATCGGTCAAGTGGTTGCTGAGATATAAGCCTCGCAAAAGCGTCCGCACGGCCGGCCGGCCGGCCGGCCGGCCGCTCATACTCAGAAATTTCCGTTAATCTAAAGGCGGCCGCACACTAGGCCATTCGGCGGGCGACATTCCGCAAAAACGCAATTCCGTGGCGACATTACGCTTTCGTGGACGCCGAATCAGCTGCCGAAACGACAAAATTATCAGCCGACCGCTGCCAGCTAGCTGTCCGCGGGTAGAGTGCGCATGCGCGCGAACAGCCGCGGAGTTGCGGAAAAAGCTGGACCGGTTGACCGGTTCAGCTTTTTCCTCGGCGACGCCGCGGACACCCGAAATTGTGGAACTTGAAACTCACCAACTATTGATGGAGCAGCCGAGAAATAGACTTCACTTGATAAAAAATCGTAGCGGCACTTCTTTCCCCATATTAAATGGTTTTTATACACTTCATTGGTTATTGCAATAATGGGTTACTATGTGCCTCTCCACAATTGTCTTTAGGTTTCTTGCATTTGTCGACAAACACGGTTGTTTACATTAATCACGAGCTTTATTTTTTGCAACTTTCTCCAGAAATTATGTCAAATGAATAGATATTCAAAACTTTATTGTACAGAAATATAGCATAATCGCATTAAATAAGCAAATATTGTTTTCGCTTAAATGTATTTAGTTTGCATTCGTTTATATTTATCATAAAATGTTTCACATAAAGTTCCTGAAAATACTAAGTAGAAAATCGCACCGCCGAATGGTCCTGTAAACTGCTGAAAACAAGCGGAAAGCCGCTGTAGGAATGTCGCCCGCGACATTCCGCTTTTGCGGAATCTCGCCCGCCGAATGGCCCAGTGTGCGGCCGCCTTAAGGAAAGACTCCGCTCGCTTCGCTCGCTCCGTAACGACTTCTTATATGGCGACTTTAATTGGGTCTACGTTTTAAGGCCAAGCCAATATTTGCATTGGTAGAAAATGCCAGTCGAAACAAATGCATTTCATGTTCCTAAACATATTTTGATTCGTAAAGTATTCATTCTACAGTCTTTCTATATATCCTTGCATGTAGATCACAACTGACAACACGACACTAAAATGATATTTTATTTAAGGGATCGTCTGTCAAGAACTTTTATCCCTAAATGACAATCTCGTGATGACTCTGTATGGCCAAAGCCCGCATTTTAATTGGTCTTGTCATCTCCCAGTTCCGGTACTCCATCGACGTACTCTGATTTTCAAATTGGTCTAATACCTCGGCCTAGAACTTCCATGGGATCCCGTTCTTGTGCTGCCGGAAAATCTCTAAGATAGAGACCCTCGTTCTCGCCATACCGGAACTTCTAAGATAGGGACCACCGATGTTGGCTTGACTCGCTTGTGATGAGGAAAGAAGAGGCCGAGCCTTACACAAACAATCGTATCCGATTTTGTAGGATCTTTTGATACGGTGTAATAAAAAAAGTAACTTGTATGATTACAATGCAACGTTCAATATAGATTATAGGTGGGATATGTGTATGTACGAAGGACCAGTAAACGCAGTCACATCATACGGAACAATAGTTATAGGTACCAGTGTGCAAATGACGCTAGATTACTGGCTTCCCCATTGTTTGACGGTTCTATGTGATGCAGAAGTGCTCGCAATATACTGGATTGCATTACTGCTCGCTGAACAAAGTATTAAATATGGAATTATTGTACTGGGACATTATAAGTATTTAGGAACCAATTCTTCGACACCAGTAATGCGTATATTGATTCGGTAGCTTTCGGAAGCTTCTGCTCCCTTCGTCAGCCGTGCTTTAAAATGCATTGAAATACAAGACAATACGTCTCAAACGTCTCAAACACCTACCAAAATACATACCACCACGATGAAAAGTTGTAGCCGTACGTCTAAAGCACAGATGCACAAAATAATCATACGAATACACCATAACTGAGCGTGAGCACACATTACATGAAAGAAACCGATATTTGAAAGTTACCTCACACTGACTTCTCTTTTGACCAACATTCCATAACACATATTAATGAACTAAGACGTAATCGTCCGTAACATTCGTGCCAAACTTTCGGCAGTCATCGTAAGTTCATGATCGTAACAACCGAGATCGAGACAATTAATCGGAGGTAGTCCGCAGACGCACAAGCTCGCATATTCGCTCTAATAATCACATACAACACCCGCACATATTTTTCAACACTTCTAAACTAAGTGTGCCTATAATAGCTCACTCAGACTCCCTGGAATTCGCCCTATACACGCAGTGCCCTGTACATGTCCGGCACCTCCCACCCGGGTAAGATATTGATGCTGTTCTGTCTGTCTACCCTGGAAATATAAAACCCCTCCTTCACCTTTCGTTTACCCCAGTTCGTCTCATAGTCCAAAATTTTAACCCTCGCCGGCCGAGGGGGGGGGGGCGGGTGCCGCCCCCCCCCATAGGGTTTTTTCGCGATAGCTCCGAACACGCTGGCGATAGAGAGCTGAAACTTGGCATACCTGACCTTTGACCCAAGCCGGATCTTTTGACACCAACCACATTTTTGGGTCAGGTCAGGTCACTGACCTATGACGTCATAAGTGAACCTCTGCACGGTCTTCAGATGTCGCAACTTCGCAACGCCCTCACTGCCAGAGGAGATGTCACAGGGAAATGAAACTTACAGGATCTAGTATCCATTATGAGTCCCACAACTTGTATATCTCGGATTTTTCCTAAAGGTCATATGAGGTCAGGTCATTTTCGTGACCTCACCATTATAAGTCAATGGGGAAAAATGAAAACTGCTATTCTGGCGCCGGGAACGATCTCCAACTATATCAAGCACACAGAATCGTGATTTGATGCACTCTTGCAAGGTTAGATGCGTCACTTTTGCAATGTTGACCTTGCGTGACGTCATTTATGACGTCATCAAGGTCATATTAGTTTTTCGTCAATAACTCTTGATCAAATTGAGCTAGCGAGTCGGGAAAGCCACCAATGGAATCAGGAAGGTCTGCCGAATCGAATGATATGCGACATGATCTCTTTCGACCAACTTCGTGACCTGGGGGTGCTGACCTGACCTTGACCCAGCCAGCAATTCGCTTGGGCTGAACTGTGGCAAGCGTCGGGCAGCTTGGGCTTAGCTTGGGTTTGCCCACTTTGATCAAAACCAATGTATTTTTTACTAGGGCTGAGCTGGGGCATGCCGCAGCTATGCCCACGTGCGGATAGCAGTAGCTCAGCCCGA